TGAATAGAATGTCATGTAATGTAAAAAAAATTGTGCCTATAACCTTGCTAGACTATAACCCAAATTAATTTTTTCTTGTTTTAAGTTAGACTTAAGTTTGCCCAAAATGCTCTGCATGACTATGAGCTTTCAACCCATTTCTGTGTAAACATGTATAGGAAGGCCCCACTTATACAGCAGGTTAGGTTCGAGGTTACTGCTTCACAGTTGAATCATAGCCTTTTTTCCACTTTCAGATGCATATAAAAACCTGATAACGTGTTTACACTATCATACATTAAGTGAACAATAGAGCTAGGCCTAAAAAGTGCTTCTATCTGCAGTACACACATTACTTTAAAATATTTTTGTCCTTGGCTTATAGTGAGTGTTGAATATATTTATTTTAGGAAGGCTGAATTAATGAAGAATGGGTATAATTGAAAATTGCTACATTAGCAAAATGCTGTAGAGCAAAGCGCTGTAAAGCGGGGCCATCTGTATCATTTTGAAATAAATTTGTATATTTATCCACCATTTGCTACAGATTGTCCATGTTGAAGACTCAAAACTTGTGTTTCAAATGAATCAAATCGAGAGCAGTGCTTAATTAATCCTTTCGGTGTCGGTCCCATTATATAACATCTTTGAAGCCAGTGTCAGTCCTGTAATGCAATACCATGAGCTCAGCTCACTCAGATAAGCTATGAGTGATAAATTTGGTCCTAGACATGAGAGAATGGGTCTGTGCAGTAAGTGTGCACCATATAAAACAATCGTGCAGCAATCATTGCATAATGAGAAAAAACTATGACCGTGGTTTAAAACAGCAAATGTGGTGTGTTTTCGTATTATTTTTATGGCTGCATTCTGTGTTTCTTTGTCTCATTTGATAGAATGGAAAATATATTACAGAAATAGAGATGGTTTTTATTGGTTTCAAGACTGAAAGTAGTTTAAAACTGAGCTCAAAGTAGTGGAAATGTTTGATTTTTGCCTATGTTCAAGAGTAAACAATGTCACCACAAGTCTAATACTCGTCAGCTGGCGAGTCTAATATATGTTCACGAATGTGCTGATATTATTTATACACTTATTACAATATTGCATAACAGTAAATCTTCTATTTTTTGGTGTTTACCTGGACCTGGAGTTTACCTGGAGAGAGTTCCGGGGGCTCAACGCCCCCGTGGCCCGGTCTGTGACCAGGCCTCCTGGTGGATCAGAGCCTGATCAACCAGGCTGTTACTGCTGGCTGCACGCAATCCAACGTACGAGCCACAGCCCGGCTGGTCAGGTACCGACTTTAGGTGCTTGTCCAGTGCCTGCTTGAAGACAGCCAGGGGTCTATTGGTAATCCCCCTTATGTATGCTGGGAGGCAGTTGAACAGTCTCGGGGCCCTGACACTTATTGTATTGTCCCTTAACGTGCTAGTGTAAATAAGTGTAAATAAGTAATGAAAATAGAATTCATCTGTAAAGCCTGGAAACATAACTAATAAACAGAGGAAATGTTATTTTAGTGCCAGGAATGCCTGCATTGTTTATTCTAGACCTTTTTTTGAAACTGGAATATTTTGAACTTTGTGTCAAATTGGCCAAATTGCCAATTTCTGATCACTTTATTGGCCAGTTGAAATAGTTGATTGGGCAGTTTCTTGTCTTCAGTCGATAAAATAGAAGTAATACTAGCAAAATAGCTAAGAGTTTGATCGACTGGAATAATGTAATTGGCCTAAAATAGGAGTCGAAGTGGGCAAAATTGCCGGTGTAAACAGCTGACGCAGTAAAATTTGGTGTAGTGTAATTTCGTCAGCTTTCCATCAGATTTCTAGTTTTTGTTTTATTACTTTCAGAAAAAGATTCTCTACCATTTCATAAGATAAAATAAAAATGTTTTTTGAAAATTCTTGGACCCTCAAAAGGTTAAAACAGGGATTATATGGTGTATTTTCGGATGGTATTTATGGTTATTTGCTTGTTTTCTGGGTCTTTTTGATAGAATGGAATATATATTACATAAATATAGATGATATTGAACAGTGTGCAGACTAAAAGTTCCTTGAAATCGAGCTCAAATTAGTGGAAGTGTTCATTCTTTGCTAATGTTCAAGAGTAAACAAATCACGTCACGCATCCAACTCACTTTGGCTGGTGGGTCTAATATGCTTTCACAAATGCGCTGATATATAACTTTTATAATAATGCAGTAGTCTGTATAACAATAAATCTTCTGTTTTTTTGTGTGAATAAAAATTTGAAATGGAAAGCAAGTGCAATATAAGAAGGGTCTGGAGACGTGACTAACCTGTTTTGAAATTGGCCTTCCTTGAATTGTGTATGAAATTGGCCAAATTACCAATTTCTGATCACTTTATTGGGTAATTGAAATAGGTAAATTGGTAGTTTCTTGTACTCAATTGATAGAACACAACTAGTTGTAGCGAAATAGCTATGAGTTTGGTTGAGTGGAACAAAGGAATTGGCCCAAAATACAGCTCAAAGTGGGTGAAATTGTTGGTGTAAATATTGCCGAGACCGCTAACTTTGCAAGAGCGTAATTCCATAACTTTTCCATTAAGTTTCAAACTTTTGGTTTCATTGCCTTCGGAAAAAGATTGTAATTTCATAAGAATTTTTTTTTTCCTCGCCCCTATGAGCAAGTTTATGAGCTGGGGTGTTGACACTCAAAGGGTTAAGTGAGGAGTACCTGTATTTTTGGATGATTCTTATGGCTTCTCAGTTTCTTGGTATAATTTGTTAAAATAGAAGACATACTAAAGTAGAGATGAGTTTGATTGGATTCAGTACTGGAAGTATCTTGAAACTGAGCTCAAACTAGCAGAATTTTTTTTTTTTTTTTCCAGAGGATTGGTAAATCTCGTCTACAACCCCCAGTCTGTTTTATGGGTTTTTATTAGGTCTGATTTCAATTATTGGGATACTGTAAACCATGAAAAAAGTTTTTCCTGGTTATGTATTATTAGCCATGAAATAGAGTAAGTCTTTCTATTTTTTGTGTGATCAAGAATTCACAACGGAAAGCAAGTGTAGTATAAAAGATGGCTTGGGACATGTCTAATGAGTAGAGTAAATGTTTTAGTGCCAGCAATGCTTTCATTATTATTGACTCTATTTTTAAATTGGCATTTTTTTAATTTTGTGTGAAATTGGCCAAACTACTGAATTCTGCTCACTTTATTGGGTAGATGAATGGGTGGTTTATTGTATTCAGTCGATAGAATGGAAGGCATATTAGCAAAACAGTTAAGTATTTGGTCGACTGAAACAAGGGGAATTGCCCAAAACATAGGACTCAGTCGGCGAAATCTCTGGTGTGTAAATTGCGTCAGCATAATTCTGCAAGTTTTCCATAAAATTTCATACTTTTGGTGTCATTATCTTAGGAAAAAGATTCTCTACCATTTCATGAGATTTTTTCTTGGGGAGGGGGGAGGTTTTTTGGATATTGAGAAAAAGTATCAGACCTTGAAAGTGTTAACATAGGCAGACAGGCAGATTGGTGTCATAGACTTAACTTTTGCAGTGTCTCGCTGCCCATGTTTAGTACACATACAGTCTCCCTCCCTCTCTCCTTTGCCTGCCTTCTTCCCTTTCACCCTTCCTCACTCCCACCTACCCCATCCTCTCCACCCTTCCTCACTCTCACCTACTCCATCCTCTCCACCCTTCCTCACTCCCACCTACCCCATCCTCTCCACCCTCCCCCCCTACCCCATCCTCTCCACCCTTCCTCACTCCCACCTACCCCATCCTCTCCACCCTTCCTCACTCCCACCTACCCATCCCTCTCCAACCTTCCTCATTCCCACCTACCCCACCCTCTCCACCCTTCCTCACTCCCACCCACCCCATCCTCTCCACCCTTTCTCACTCCCACCCCCCCCATCCTCTCCACCCTTTCTCACTCCCCCCCCCTCCTCTCCACCCTTCCTCACTCCCATCTACCACATCCTCTCCACCCTTCCTCACTCCCATCCACCCCATCCTCTCCACCCTCCCTCCCTCCCCACCACCCCATCCTCTCCACCCTTTCTCACTCCTATCCACCATATCCTCTCCACCCTTTCTCTTTTCCCACCCCCCCCATCCTCTCTACCCTTTCTCACTCCCATCTACCCATCCCTCTCTCTCCCCCCACCCACCCCATCCTCTCCACCCTTTCTCACTCCCATCCACTCCATCCTCTCCACCCTCCCCTCTCTCCACCCACCCATCCTCTCCACCCTCCCACCCACCCCATCCTTCCTACCCTTCCACACTCCCACCTTCACAAAATTTTACCTTGCCTACACTCCAACAGCTTGTGAAGTCCCAAAAATCATTTGCTTTCACTCATTCCTATCTAACATGCTCACACATGCCTGCTGGATGTCCAAGCCCCTTGCACACACAACCTCCTTTACCCCCTCCCTCTAACCTATCCTAAGGTGACCTCTAACCCACCTTCCCTTTATTATAGATTTATATACCCTTCAAGTCATTCTCTTTTGCTCCAGTCTCTCTAATAGTCTAAATGTTCAAACTACTTAACAAACCTCCTCAACCCTCTGGATAATACTTATGTAACTCCGCATCTCCTAATCTCCATGCTATAATTCTCTGCATTATATTCACGCTTCACATTTCCATCAGACACAACATCTCCACTACCTCCAGCCTTCTCCTTACTGCAAATTCACACACAACTGGTGTTCACACCCATATAAGAGTGTTGGTGCCACTATAGTCTGAGACATTTCCCTTTTGCCTCCATTGAACATGTTATTTGTCTCCATATATGCCTCAATGCACCAGTTATCTTTTTTCTTTCATCAGTTCTGTGGTTCACCTCCTAATTTTAGTGTCTGCTAAAGATTATTCAAAACTGTGTTGTTTTTTTAGCTGTGTCTGCTGAGTATGAGAAACAACGTAATGACTGTGGTACTGAGCTAAGTCTACCGTGCTCACTACCTTCATATTAGATGAAGTAAAGCTTTATTTTTTATATCTTTCTGCAGGTTGTCCTTCCACCAGAAGAATCTCTTCAGCAGTTCCAAGATCCAGTGCCATACATGTGGAAGAGTTACTGCAGAAAAGTAGTGATGGCAGTCAGTGTCATAAAGCTTGCCACATTGTGTCAGTACCAAGTGTCTTAAAGGGAACTTCATCATTCTGGTTACTACATGTACACTTAAACATACTGGCTACATCATGCTGACTCCATGTCTTGGCTACTAATGCATGTGCTCTGTATCCAGTCAATGTAACTTCATTAATGGAAATAATGTGCAACATGTGTATTGAACGGCTGACTTGTTGAAAAAAAAAATTAAGTGTTTTAAGGAGTGTGTATAAGTAATCTACTGAATATATCATATACTATGTGCTTAATTTCCAAGAAAATCTAACTAAAGGATTCTGAGTTAGATTTTTTTAGTGGTATATTAAAAAAAATATTTGTATTTTCTGCTTCATGTTATTTCCTCATAATTATATGCTTTCTTTCTTCTTTCAACGTACCAGCCGTATCCCACCGAGGTGGGGTGGCCCAAAAGGAAAAACGAAAGTTTCTCCTTTCAAATTTAGTAATATATACAGGAGAAGAGGTTACTAGCCCCTTGCTCCAGGCATTTCAGTCGCCTCTTACGACACGCATGGCTTACGGAGGAAGAATTCTGCTCCACTTCCCCATGGAGAATAATTATATGCTATCATTCAGATAAATTATTTTTAATCATATGTTTTGAGATATTATGGCCTGTTTTCCATAAGTCTCCTGCGGTATGGGGTATCTTTTGCTCTAGTTTGAAGTGGATACTCAAATATTTCATGTTGTTTACTGCCACTAATGCTATAAGCATCAGTACTCTGAAAATATAAAACGTTTTTGCTCGATAAACTATATACTGTATTATCTTCATTTTCTTGTCAACAGAAAAGTTGAACATAACTAAAGTAGGTAAATAGTTGCCTGAGTAAATAATTTACAGACATTAATCCATAGTCTTATGTCATATATGAACTTGTATGACATTGTGCTTGGTGTAATAACCTCCTCTCCTTCCTTCCGCTTTTAGCCACGTTACCATGTTATGGTCAAGTGAAGAAGGAAACATTCATCATAACTCACTCAATATTAGTCTTAACAGAAGTGTGCATAAATCACATTACAAATAACCTCTGGACAAGAGCATTATTGCAAGTTCTTGTACCTTTGATCCAATGATACAAATAATTGAAGTATACAGGGTGTAAATTTTTAACAATTTGGTTTTGCTATCATATGAATATTTCCACAGTAAAAGAATTTTTCATTCAAGAAATAATAAACTACAATTTAGTGTGTCTTAGAAAATTACCACATAAGAGTATACACAAATAAGTAAGAAAAAGCACATTTGTATTGTGATTCTTCCAAACTATTTTCATACAGTTACATCTTACACAAGAGATCTTATATGAGAACATTTCTTTCACTGTTCAAAAGTTACATCACAGAAATCATCTACAATGGATTGTATGGAAGATAACTTGGGTGAGAATCCACTTGAGACTACAGAATGTAGAACAGTCTTTAAATCATCTTCATCCCTAATAAAGCAAATCAGAGTTCATACTGAAGGGAAACCACATCAATGTCTAATGTGTCTAAATGACTTTAAAGAAAACTCACATGAACTGGAACCCTCAGAAGATCGTGTAGAAAAAAACTTGAAGTCACATCAGTGTTTATTGTGCTCAGAGAAGTTTTCAGAAAAGACTGATTTACAAAAGCACTGGAAAATTCATACAGGAGAGAAACCATATACTTGTTCAAAATGTCAAAAAGTCTTTGATAAGCAAGGAAGTCTAATGCGACATCTAAGTAATCATTATGGAGAAAATCCCTTTCAGTGTATAGTGTGCTTAAAAGACTTTTCAAGTAAACAAGTTCTACAACAACACATGGGAATTCATACAGGAGATAAGCCATACAAGTGTTTATTGTGCAAGACTAAATTCATTAAAAAATCTTGTTTTAAAAAGCACATACGAGCCCATGCAGAGGGAAAATTTCATCATTGTACGGTATGTTCACAGTCATTTTCAGATAAATTGCATTTAGAGCGACACTCAGTGGTTCATAATGGAGGAAAACCATATAACTGTGCAGTGTGTTCAAAAGGTTTTTTAAGTAAAACAAAGCTAACAAGACACACAAGAACTCATACAGGAGAAAAACCTTATGAGTGTTCAGTGTGTCAGAGAAGTTTTTCAGATGAAGCAGTTCTTGGACGACACATGGTAATGCATTCTGATGAGAAACATCAGTGTTCAGTGTGTTCCAAAGATTTCTCACAGCAGTTGCTTCTTGATCAGCACCTGGAAATTCACACAGTAGAGAGACCTTTTCATTGTTCGCTCTGTCCAAAACGTTTTATAAATAAAACAAGGCTAATCAGACATAAGAGCATTCATTCACGAGAAAAGTCATTTCGGTGTTCGATATGTCAAAAAGACTTTTCACTGAAATCAAATAAAGTACGACACATGAGAGTTCATACAGGAGAGAAACCATACGAGTGTTCAGTATGTTCCAAAAAATTTAATCAAAAATCACATCTAGACAAGCATGGAAAAGTTCATAGTGGAGAAAAACCATATAACTGTTCAGTTTGTGTAAAAGGATTTTTATATTTAAGAAATCTTAAACGACATGTTAAACGCCACACAGGAGAAAGGTTGTATCAGTGTTCGGTTTGTATGAAAGACTTGCCAGATAGCACACGTCTAACACAGCACATGAGACTTCATGAAAGAAGGAAATATCAGTTTTCTTTACGTTCAAAAAATTCACGGTTAGCTAATCTTAAACAGCACTTAAAAGTTCATACACAAAGAAAGCGATATAAATGTTCAGTGTGTGGAAAAGGCTTCTTTAGTAATGTAAATCTATTTCAGCATAAGAAAAGTCATGTCGGAGAACATTTTCGGTGTTCATTTTGTCAGAAAGACTTGTTAAATCGTACAAATCTAATAAAACACTTGTTAACTCATAAACCAAATGAACCACATCAGTGTTCAGTGTGTTTAAAGGACTTTACAGATGAATCTGCTCTTGAACAACACATGAAAGTTCATGCAGAAGTTAAATCATATAAGTGTTCAGTGTGTCAGGAAGACTTTAAAGATAAATCGACTCTAGATCAACACGCTACAGTCATGAAGAAGAGAAATCTGAGGAGAGTTTACTTAAAGAGGAAGATGGTACGGTTCAAACAGAGGATATGATATATCAGTGTATAGTTTGTCATGATGAGTTTACAGATAAAGAAAATGTCATGCAACACATGAAAGTTCATGGAGAAGGAAAGCCTGAGGAGAGTTCTGTGGGTGTAGAAGATCAAAAAGATTTTTCAGCTCATGCAGAAGAGAGATCATGCCAGTTTTCAGTGTCTGCACAGAACTTGTCAGATGAAAAAATTCTTTCAAAACACACGATGGTTTGTGAAGAGAAACAGGAGGAATGTTTGCATGTAGATGATGTAAGAGATGAGACAGTTCCTGATGATAACATCACAGTTGATATGGAAGATGTGTTATACCAGTGTTCTGTGTGTTGCAAAGAATTTTCTGATCAAGAAATTGAGGAACACATGAAGAGTCATAGAAAAGAGGGACCTGAAGAGAGCTCATTGAATGTTGATATGGTATGGAGAAATGTGCAGCAGTTTGTACTGATGATTTAATATATCAATGCTCAGTGTGTCTTAAAGAGTTCACAGATGTAAAAGTGATCATGGAACACATGAAAGTTCATGGGGAAGTGAATCCTGAGGAGAGCTCAGCACGTGTAGGAAAATCTGAAGTTAAAGAGGAATTTGCGACACTTCAAACAGAAGATGTATTATATCAATGTTCAGTGTGTAAGGAAGAATTTACAGATCAGAAAACTGTCATGCAACATATGGTAACTCATACAGCAGAGAATTCTTTTAAGTGTTCAGTGTGCCTTGAAGAGTTTACAGAAAAGGAAATTTTTGAACAACACCTGAAAGGTCATATAGGAGAAAATCCAAATAACTGTTCAATATGTTCAAAAGACTTTTTAACTAAAGGATATATAACACGACACATGAGAGTTCATACAGGAGAAAAACCTTACCAGTGTACAGTGTGTCTAAAACACTTTACAGATAAATCAGTTGTAATGCGACACATGAGACTTCATACAGGAGAAAAACCATACGAGTGTTCAGTATGTATGAAAGGCTTCAGAGAAAATTCACAACTAAAATACCACATGAAAAGTCATACAGGAGAAAAGGTAGAGAAAACACACAAATGTTTAGTGTGTCACAAAAGAATCAATCTAGAAAAGCTGGAACAGCATTTGGCAATTCATTTAGGAGATAAACTGTATAACTGTCCACTTTGTCAAAAAGGCTTTGCAAGTGACAAAAGTCTAATAAGACATAGAAAAGTTCACACAGGAGAGAAATCACATCAGTGTTCAGTGTGTCTGAGATCATTTTCGAGAAACTGGCATCTTAAACAGCACTACAAAATTCATTCTGGAGAGAAACCATACGAGTGTTCAGTGTGTTTTAGAAGATTTATACAAAAAGTACAGCTTGAACTTCACTCTAGAATTCACACAGGAGAGAAACCATTCCAGTGTTCAGTGTGTTCAAGAAGATTTATACGAAAAGGACAGCTTCAACAACACTTGAGAGTTCACACAGGAGAAAAACCATATAATTGTTCAGAGTGTCTGAAAGACTTTAGATCAAATGCAAGTCTCAAAAAACACTTAAGAGTTCACAAAAGAAAGGAATCAAATTTGTGTTAAGTGTGTTACTAAGTTATTTTTTACAGATATCAAATCTAGAGCAAAACTTGTTCATTAAAAAAAAAGATGAACCTTACAGCTATTCAATGTCAAAAATTTTCCTAATAAAACAGGTGTAAACAGACATAAATGCGAAAGAACAAAAAAGGCACAACACTGTGACTGGAGCAATACACAAATAACCCACACATAAGAGAAAAGCTTTGGAGTATGACTTTATAAATGGTCCAAGTCGGACCAAAACATCATTATAAGCTTCTCTCTCCTGTGTGCAGATTATTTGTGTAAATATGAGAGTTTATAAGAAAAAATATAATACTGGTAAGCATATATGAGCATTGCAGGAGAAGGCAACTAAAGTCAAATGCCCTCCAATTTATAAATCTTTTCAGGTTTGGTATTGAAAAGTTTTCTATGCTGAGTATGATGTATAGCTCTAGTACTGATTTAGATCATTTTGGGGTCACAGGAAAATAAGTATCTCTTTGGAACATAATATCATATACTTATGTTATCCATTATTTAGTAAATGATACATATATAGAATCAGCAGAGTGCAAGGATGCTAGTGATATGTTTTATTTCTCTAAGTCAAAATTGAATGTTTTGTTAGATACCCCAAAGGTTATTGCATGGCCTTCAAGGTACAGAAAAAATGATTTAAGTAAAGAAAGACTGATGTATTTGCTACGAGATTCTGCAATAAAATTTTGTGTATAGGCATTCTTTTATTAAAGGCCCCAAATTAATCTCGTGTGTAATTCTTAGTACAACATTATTGGAAATACAGTAGTACCTCGAATTTCGAACAGTTCCCAACTCAAACAATTATGTAAGTGTATTTTTGTAAGTATATTTTTTGGGGTCTGAAACGGACTAATCTAATTTACATTATTCCTTATGGAAACAAATTCGTTTGGTAACGGCCTTCAGGAACGAATTACGGCCGAAATTTAAGGTACCACTTTGTATTATGTTATGCATATTTTTCAAGGTGACAGACACCTTAACAGGGGTTAAGTTTAGGCTCTACATGGATGGGCTTCAGCTCTCCCAGGATGGCCAAGGCATGTAGAAACTAAATTAGATTCTGCCTGTGAATTTACCTTGTACTGTGACATGTAAATTTCTCATTTCACCTCCCTGGAAGTTGAGCAGGTCCGTAGAGCAACAGCCTGTAAGTGGATAACATGCATTTTTGGTAAAAGGATAGAGGTAATATAAGCTCAGTGTTGACCCCACTTGAATTAATCAGCTGGTCTAGCATTGCTCTTCCTTGTCTGAGCAGGGTGATGTGTTTGGCTAGGGCTAAGTGAACTTTGATGAGTGGACACCATTGGTCCTGAGGCTACCATTGTTGGCTTCATAGTGGGTGGAAAAATAGTTGTAGGTAATTCCTAGTGTTGTATGGATCATACCCCTATGACCCCTGTGTGTCCAAGGACTCTCCTCAGAATCTAGTATGCTTTTAGGCAATAACTTGTTCCTGACCCCAGTACTGGTTTGACTTGACCCCTTTGATACCTTGGTTAAAGAACATGGTTAAAGAACCATGATCCTGTCTTCTCCCATGACTTGGCATTGATATTTGAATTTTTGCATATCAGAGCCCCTCACGAGAAGTTCCTTGATGCTGGTGAGGGACTCTTGATCTAGGGAATTGAATCTGTGCATCCAGGTCCCCGAATTGAGTCTGAATACTTTCCATCCCCCCCCCCCCCACATGTGCTGTATAATCCTACGGGTGTAGCACTCCCCCATGATTATAATAATAATGCACATCAGAGGACAGAATGGCTTGGAGTCATTATCCATAGTAGTGATGGAATCTAAATTTTCACAATATCAGTGCTCAATTTTGGGCAGATAATGATAAAGATTCCATTAAAAGTAGCTAATACTATACTTGTACCATGAAAATTGGCCAATACCCACTGACAGCAATACTTCATGACACCCTTAGTCCAAACATCCTTGAAACATATTAGAAACTGCTAATGCTGCCTAACATACCTTTTCACTTGAATCCTAAGAAGCATTCCAACTGGAAATCCCTTCCCATACAAGAAGCATTTTGAAGATGTTCATGAATGTAATTCTTTTCCCTCCAGCCAACAACCTCTGTGGATTATATTACAGACCAAATTATTGGCAAGGCACTCATGAGGTTGTCTTCCAAAACATCCTCCATGCCCTCGAGAGTGGGAATTACTGTAATATTTTTTATTATGCACCCCTACCCATCCTATGGCCAGTAGTCAAAAGATTACAGAGGCACATAATAGGTCCAGGATGTGGGATGTGTATTGTCAGTAAGCAAGTTTATTCAGGTATACACAAATACAGTTACATAGATTATCATACATGGCAGTGTATGTGTAAAGATCCTAGGATAACCCATAAAAGCCAGAGTGACTTATTTCCATTGGGGTCACCATAAATAATGTAGAACAGACCACTGACCTTTCTCATATCTTCTCTATCTCTAACATTCCTTCTTTATTCTGTGGGACTCGTACCTAATAGAATAATCCAGCTAGACTTTGCTATGAATGTGCCAAAGTATCAGTATTAGTGGATACTGGCTAATTTCTATGGTTTCAGTATCATCCTGAAATTGAGCATCAGTATCAGCAAAAATTTTCATACCATCCCATCCCAACTCGACACAATGTGGCATGTACATCGATGAGCAACTCTAGGTTCCAAAACCTCCCTATAACCAAAGCAGAAATTTATTTATTTATTTATTTATTTAGAAATTTAGCATACAAACAGAGGTACAAAAAATACAGGTAAGAGCAGCATGCCAAAGCCACTTATACCACTCTGTATGTTATGCCACTCTGTATGTGTGCACAAATTGGAAATACTATACATAGCATTACGGGCTGGCTTAAAATTAACTTAAGATTAACTAAGCAATGATGAAATCAGTGATAAGACATTATTGTAAACAGATAACTATAAAATACAAATGAGTATTACAAAGACAGGTCCAATGGTTGCATGCATTGCTGTTCATTCAGTAGAATGGAGTATTCTGTTAGGTAGTGTATTTAAAAAAATAACAAAGTTAGGTTTAACATTTGTGTGATATAATTGTGAGTAACATTTAGGATATACAATTTATATGGTTCAGTTATTCAGTATTTATTTGGTTTTGAGTGAGTAAATGAACTTTGAGAAGAGACTTGAATTTATAAACAGGTAGTGTTTATTTTATATTTACAGGTAATGAATTCCAGATTTTAGGGCCTTTTATGTGCATTGAGTTTTTGCATAGCGTGAGATGGACATGAGGAACATCAAAGAGTGGTCTGTGCCTTGTATTATGGTCATGTGTTCTGTTGAGGTTGGCAAGGAGATGTTTGAGGGGAGGGTTAATATCAGAGTTAAGTGTTCTATGTATGTAATAAGTGCAATAATAAGTATGGATGTTTTGTATGGTGAGTAGGTTGAGTGTTTTGAATATTGGTGGAGTGTGCTGCCTGTAGTGAGAATTTGTTATCATTCTAACTGCAGCCTTTTGTTGGGTAATTAGTGGTCTGAGATGGTTAGTTGTTGTTGAGCCCCATGCACAAATTCCATAGGTGAGATAGGGGTAAATAAGAGAGTGATAAAGGGCCAGGAGGGCTGACTGTGGAACATAGTACCGTATCTTCGATAGTATGCCTACAGTCTTGGAAATTTTCTTAGAAATTTGTTGTATATGTGTATGAAATTTGAGTCTATTATCGAGGTGGATTCCTAAGAATTTTCCCTCTGTTAGCTTTGTGATAGGTGATCCGTTTATCGTTATGTTAAGAGGTACATCTGTAGCTCTGCTACCAAACTGAATGAAGTAGGTTTTGTCAATGTTTAGTGTAAGTTTGTTAGTCCTCATCCAGGTAGATATTTTCTGTAATTCGGTGTTTACAGTATTTGCTAGCGTGACCACTCTACCCATGGAAGGAGACAGCCAAGCAATGTACCTAAGTTGACCCTTGATTGATGTGACCTTCCATCCTCAGTTTCTATATACCAAGTGAGGGAACTCCAACAATGCATACAATGGTGGCACTTTGGTCACCTAGCAAAAACATTGCAGATAACCAGCAGAATGCCTAAATTACCATATTCTATCCTATGATCTTCCTCCTCATAGCTAAACTGCAACGAAGCATTCCCTCTGAAAATTCCCACCGTTCCACAGTTTTCTTACAAGAAGGGGAAATATGCTGTCCCAAGGAGAAATAAGGGCCTATCACACAATATGGCAGTGACTTGGCTCTGGCTCCAAGGGAGGCTGCCACTAATATCCTACAGTTACCCAACATCTACAGCACCTTGTTGAAACCTCTACATCAGTCACCCCTTCCTTTAGCTTATGAAGTCATCATCTTAGAGATTTCTACCTCTTTTCCATTTCCCATTCTTCCTGCTTCATCCTCTTGTTTCTCCTGAACACTTTCCCAAGATATGTCTTCGACATTTGCAATAACAACAAAGACTCAAAATTCCATTTTATTTATTTTGATCAGGGAAAGGGCTAAACATGTAGCTGTTTCATAGCTGTCAATTATATTCTTATTGTACTAACATGCTTATTTCATGAAATTGTAATGGCACGAGGTCAAACAAACCATACCACGGGCAGGGATTGAATACAGAGAAATATTCTCATAGTTATTCTCATATGCTACTGCTACTCTGCCCAACACTGATATCTTCTCAGGAGAGACCTAACCCCTCTCAACCTCCCCTCTTGGCAGCTGCCTATATCTCCCCACTTTCTACTCCATGTATCCCTTACGTATCTTAGTGTTACACTACCTACCACTTCATTGACTACAGAAATTGAGGCCATATCAGCTTTTATCAGAGAACCTGATACGGACATCGACAAAGATCAACATAAACAATGAATATCGGTTGGATTGTCATTCAGTGCTAAACTTACATATACATTGTTTGATGCCAATTCTGACAATATACTATTTTCACATTCTCACCCTATGCAAACCACCCCAACCTTCCCTTAAACACTTCAGTCCACCATCTTCCATCTCTAGCAGTTACCACCCCTGAAGGGAGGCTCCTCGATGCTGGTGAGGGGCTCTGATCCCTTGTAGGTTTAGCTCTTCTTTTTTATAATAAAAATATCTAAGGAACTGGAGCGCTGCTCTTAATTTCTTGAATCAGACTTGAATGCCTTCCATTTTTCCAAGGTGCTGTTTGACCCTAGAGGTTTAGTGCTCTGTAATAATCTGTTGGCCACAAATCCCTTATTAATAATTTATTGCTGCCACCATACATGACTTTACTAGTTATCTTCGCCCATAATCTCTACCAGCCACTGTACTACTGGTCACTAGCAATTGAGATATTGTGTGGGAATATCAGAGGAAACGGAGAGCTCCAAATATTGATTTTCCAGTTTTCTAAAGTATGTATTTATTTTTTTTACAAAGAATGGAAACTGTGAGAATTGGAATTGATAAGTAAGATACATGCACCAGTTAGGTATCTTTATTTTGAAACATTTACCTACACAGTATGCTTCTTCAGCTGAATACAGAGGAAGCAGAAGTGAATATAATGATGTAATCAGAGCATCACCCTGGAAAAAATAGTTCTGAGGTAGTCATTCCATCAATCTGGAGCTGAGTTCTGCTCCCTAGTCTGAAGCCTACTGTGTAGGCAGCAAGCAGCAATAAGGCTGCTCCTATATCTTGCC